TGATGCAATGGCAGCATATATTCTTGCCTCCCGGTCCGTTTCTGCCACAAACGATATTGGAGAGCCTTCAGAATTCAAAAGCCTGAAGAGTAATGCGAAGAAAGGTAAGTGTTCAATGGAATGATATTTAGACTTCAACAGGTCGTTTGATTGCTTACAATGTTGCGCGCACTCCGCCTGACGTCGCTTGTCTTAGTACCTGTTGTATCGCTTTTGGCTTTAGCATTATATCTCGGGTGAGGAAACAAGTATCATCAAATTAAGAATATCTGACGCAAATCATTTTTCCGTCTCAATAATAATATAAATGTTCGCTGCTGCCTATGACCGAATGTGAAGGAGCAGTATAAAATGTCTTAGAACCGACAAGAATATTAATCGTGGACGGGGACATCTATTATGAAACCAAATTTGGCAGCAAGCGTCTACTTAATTGTCGCAGATAATTGGTTACAGCATTTATCTACATATTCATACCGCGTCTGGCCTCACCACGCTCGCTTTTTTTGTGAATAAAATTCATTTTAGTTTTTGAGGGCGAGAAGAAATCAATCCTACGTAAAGAAAATGTTGGTAATCTCATATATAAATTTTTGTTGCCTATGTCTCTATAATATGCAATGTGTAAATAAAGTCATTTGGTCACACTAATAAACCAACTCTTTTGTGTACTTACCGTTGCTATATAGGGTCCCATGTCCCAGCTATTCAATTTCTCATAATGCGGCGTCTCTTCAATAACGCATGCGTGTTCTCTTGGCCGCTAGCAACCAGCTGGGCTTTGACAACTCCAGGTCGAGCTGCTTTAAAAAGAAAATGCCGATATTTTTGTAAACCATTGCAATTTCTTAAAGAAAATTCCCAACACGGAATTAAGATCTAAGTATTGAAAGCCTTTTCCATTGTCATAACACCGAACTTTATTTAATCCAGCTGTACTCGATCTTTCACAACCTCAACAATATGATTCATACAATCTACAGTCGTTTTGCGGTATAGTTTCTTAATCAATCCAAAGCTACCATCACGCTTGAATTTAGTATGTCCAGGTACCATGAAATATTCGATACTTTCATAATAACCGCAAATTACTAAATATAGGTAAAATCAAATGGTGGCATTGTTTTTATTCTGACCACCCGCGTTGTCACAGGTAATTTTTAAATGTTTTTCGCTTTTATTCAAATTCTTTATTCCATCGAATACCATGTTTAGCGTACCATTAGGCCTTTGCCGATAATTTCGTCTTCATCGAGAGTGTAATTAATTTGTTCGCGCACTGCTTCATCTTGAATACCAAATAAATGCACTTTACGTGTATTGCGATCTCAATAATAAAAAGTTCTTTTATTAGTACGCGTTTTCTTTTTAAGACGTTGACTGGCAGTTATTTCTCCACCATTCATTGCTTTTAGCTGGGCCATTAAAAATATATCTTGCTCGGATCTAGAGAGAGTTTGAAACACTTTACGCAAATTTTTTTCTCGGAAACAACCACACTTGCAACCTAATTCCAAGAAACGCGTTGCTTTTTCATATTCAGTGGAGCCATTATATTCGTTATTTATTATATACAGATAGTCCTATATATAGTTTTAGTAAGTATCTTTACTGGAGCGGGATCATATAAAAACTTTTTTATAACTTAAAGAGCAGCATAGCCTATTAAGTCATCAGCAAGCAAACATGAAGAGGCATAGGAATAGAAGACTAATATGGATAGAACAAAAAGTAATAATCATGATGAGATTTCATATAAATCTTTATTATGTTCTGACACAGTTGTCAGGAAATACTTTAATACGTATTGCACTTAACCAGAATAATGCAAGAGTTGCTATGTTAAAGCAATAACATCATTATAATTTGCTAGATGTAAAGTGTCTATATGTACATTTGTGAATGAGAACCCACTATTTCTTGAATTGAAGAAAATACAATTATTATGCAAGGTTATATCAATGGAAATAGTGATTGTGATTGTGCATACTAATACCACCTTTGCATTCAACAATACCCCCAATACCAATGGATGTAATAATTTCAATATCACACATGGTTAATCACTATTTATCAATTTTTGGCTTTTTGTTTAGACCACCCAGCACAGACATTTTGTTCTGTGTTTGCAACAGCAACCAGATAATATGGCTGAGAACCTTTCCTGCCTTTTCCTTCATAGAAACACCATAATCAACTGTGACAGCTTAAAATCAGGCTTTCTCCATCATTCAGCATACATTCAAGGAAGTACCATTTCTCCACATTGGTGACTATGCCAAAACATCTGGAGATGGTATTTAATTCACTGGCTTTGCACTTTTTGTCTGGCCTATCATTGCAACTTGTTAACTTTACAAGAAATATATGTCAATTAAGTTCCAGCATTCTGTGCAACCACTTTCTTGAAGTCCTCCCTTTTTGACTTCCATCATTCCAACTATCTGCCCATTGTATGCTTCTATTGCAAAATTGACAGGGCCCCTTCCATTGATTCCCTCAATTAATTTTTCTGGCCAAAATTTGAAATCATCTCTGAAAGTGTTCACTGCAGCAAGTAAGTAAGAAAAAACATAAATTGACTCATTGGAGTTAGGGGTCAGACAGCTCGACCAGAAGTTTTGAAAGTGCCCCTTGTTCTGTTTTGTTGTTGATATCTGTGAGACTGCATTTGAAATTTGGAAATGATGCCAGGATAGGGTCTGAATCCTCATTGCTAATTGCAAATAGTTGGCACACATCCTTGAATTCCCAATTGCTGAAGGGTTTCAATGGAGTTTCCAGTGATATTGTGACTTTCTGTTTGTCTGCCACCACTAGACTCTTCTTGCTGTGCTGCCAACTGGGCATTCAGATTCTGTATCTCTTGGCTTGTGGTAGGCCCTGATGGATAGTGGTAGAGTGCTTAGAACCTGTAAGGGAAAGCAGTCCCTCCTGCAGCATTACCTTTACTATCCTCTTCATCAAGAATTTGGAGTTGCTTTCTGTCATAAACTTCCTGTGTGACAAGTCCTTGTTCACATTGCTGTTTTAATTTTGCAAGATGTTCATCAGTATTAGTATTCATTGCAAGTGGAGAGAAGAAATTTGTCTTGCCTAAAACATAAGGGCAATTTTTTCTCCTTGAGCTTTCTTTAAAATACTTCTAATGATGCTGTAATTCTTTGGTTCCATAGTGGATTTGATGTAAATTAGTTTCATATATTTTATTTTTATGTAGAGATAATCCTATATTAATCCTGTATAATTTTTAGATGGTAATGGAAGTTTGCTACATAAATTTGTGTACAAGTTATTGCTGTGAGTAATCAAAAATGTCATTAGTCAAATCCAGCCACACCAGCGATTTTTAGCTCACATAACAAAATGTTCACTTTGTCTGGTGTTGTTGCAGCATGCTCCATATTATTAATATATTCAGTTTCACTCTTTTCTTTATCTACCCATTTGTTAAGCGCATCGATCGTTTTTCTCGAGAATTGGTTGATGAAGGCCTTTTAGAATAAAGGCAATAACGCCTTTTCTCTAACAAATAGTTATTGGACTTGTTTTTTCTTCTCGTTATATTTCTTCAAGTTTTTATCACATCATGTGTCGAGTTTAAGGTTCGTTTATTGGTTTTTATTTTTCGTTGTTGGTAAATTTAAAATAGTATTATTCCCCTTCGATTCTTTAGTAGAATAATTGTTGTTATTATTTTATTAGAGGTACCCTTATTTGTATTCACGAGTGTTTGAAACTCGGATAGGGAGTGAGAAGCGCGCATAATTAAAATAGGTCACCTGAGGCTTAATTCAGTCTTAATTGCACAACTATCGTCGTAAGGGCGATAGTACGAGCTAATCCCCCGGTCGGCGAACACACTACGCGAAAGATAAAATCGCTCTCCCAACCCCCAATTTAATTCCCGACCGTAACATGCTGGAGAGTTTTGCTATCGTTTATTTTAAACACATATGGGCAATTTTTTCTTTCTTGAAATTGTGCTGTAATTCTTGGGTTCCATAGTAGATTTTATGTAAATTAGTTTTATATTTATATTTTTATATAAACATAGTCCTAATATGGAACGTGTTATAACTTCAAGTAAAAGTTTTATGATATAGATTTAAAATACAATGAAAAATTAGCCAAAGCCGTATCACAAATGTATCAGTTGCTTAGTTATTATTATATTAATATTACGCATCAGCCATTTTTAATCACATGGTTGAATGTTCACTTTGTTTGGTTTTGTTGCAGTCTGCCCGATTTTAAGGTTATTAGGGTTTAATCAACCTATTTTTAAGCGCTATACGGTTTGGAACGAATAATCGGTTGGTTTGGAAATAGCTTACAGAATAGAAATATATTAGCTTTATTTAATTTGGATGGTCTGTATTCCCGAATCTGAAACATTTACTGAATACCACATCTATTAGTCTTATTAGTATAAATCTGTATGACTGGCTTTATGTCAAGTGTTCGTTGCAGCTATTTCTTCTTATGAGAATAACCCAATTTCTTCGAAGAGGACGAGTATGCCTATCGTAATACATGTGGCTGAGTGTTAGTATGAATCAGATTAAACTTGCCACGTCTCACTCAAATACTGTATCTATGATAACGTATTCTATAAGACTACTTTTTGCATTATTCTTCTACAGCCATTCGTCTTTTGTTCCATCCTTCACTGTTCCATCCTTCATTGTTCCAACCTTCATTGTTTTTCTGTACCTTAGTCATTTCCAGTAGATCCTCTTCAATCTCCCTATCTGTCAGCCTGGCAGTCACTAAAGGACCTGCTACTTTAGAACGCTTTGTTTTCGGCTCCACTTCATCTTTGGCTTTTGTGCCACGAAGCTTCCTTTGCGAGTGTTGGCGTGGTGCTGTCTCCACTGTCACGTCTGCAAAATAATGAGTGATATGAGGAATATAGTTAAAGGATTAGCATAGATTATAGTGAATGTAATAATTGTATACGCATAAATTGAATTTTCTATATTTTTATACTAATTCGATGTCTTTGATAATTTCGTAAACTAACTAGAAAAAAAGATCGATACAGAGTTTCCAATCATAGATTACTCATACCATGTAAGAGGTCATATGAATCCTTATCTTCCTTTAATTTTCGTCTTCGTTCTTCGACCTCAGCCAACATTTTTTCTTTTAGGCCTTGCTTCTCCGTCTATATTGACAATATATTGTAACTAAATCATCCGGCATATAACAATATCCATGCATATCATACGATAATTATGGCCACAAAAGTGCAGGATCTTATGACAGAAGATAACTTTGCAAACGTACCGAATAATCCTCTTCGGCCTGGCTAGCTTCCGCCTCATACATACGTTTTACGCAATCTAGCAGATATTCTCGGTATAATTCAGCTTTCAGAATAGTGTCGTCCCGAAGTTCGATCAGTTCTTGTAAACGTTCTTCAAAGTCTGAATTTGTACCTAAAGATGAAAAACACATGAAAGGAGATATTTATATACATAGGCTTGGCTTGCTTGTTATAAATAGAACTAATAGCGTTGGTCACATGGCTTAGAGTTCGCTAATCGTAGTACTAAACCTCATGTGACGTCATCAACCGTATCCAATGACATACCATCCTGTATTTCTTTAAGTTCCTTATCAAATTGTTCTAAATATTGTTGATAAAGTCTAACAAATGGGGTGCAAATCAAATCAGATACACTTGTTAGAAAAGCTGATAACAAGCAATTTGGTCGATCACTCCAATTTCTTAGTTGCACGCGCCGTACTCACATGTCTTTGTCATTTTCTAATTGCATGTTCATTTTATATAATCGTTCGTTAATCTCGCTATGGAATTCGCTGGATGTTGCTCTGTGCTTCTTCTTTCTGTCAGGTTTATCAATATAACGACCATCTAAGTATGGGAAGAATAAAAAAAGAACGAGGGGCAAAAAAAATTTTAGTGGTTAGTGAAGGGTGGAATATAAAGGCGAGAAATGGAAAGAATAATCGATAGGTATTTGCCAGAGATGATAGAAACGATAAATGTATACTTCTGAAGTTGCACATTCAAAGGTTAAATCTGACAAGGTTCATCACCGCCACTCAGTTCAAATGACCGTCACTCAGGTCAAATGACCCACACTAAAAGTCTCCCGAGTACTACTGTCTCTTTTACTTAACCCACCTTCTTCCTCGTCCTCCCTCTCGCCTTCTCTCCCGTCGTCTTCTTCGTAGTTCATATAGTCTACATACTCGTTATCACCACCATCATAGGCAGAATCGTCCTGTATCATATCATAATCTTCTGTCTCTCCTTCAGAGGATTCTGGTTCATAATAATTAGGGTTGTTAGCTGTTTGTCGTTGTGCGCGTTTTGATTTTATTTGGTGTGTTGACTTTATAGCCGAGGGAGGCATAGTGAATGTGTGCAGAAGTTCATTTCGATGTTTACTATATCTGTCCAATTGTAGTAAGCCGGTCTAAGCCACCCTAAATATCACGTTATGGTTTATTCGATTGGTCGAGACAGACTGCGGAATATCGTTAATTTTACTTCGCCATCTGAATTTCCACTTTTATATTTCTCAGCCTGCACATTTTTAACGGTTAATTAAACATATTAATATGCTTTTAGATGCACGCGACACATGCATGCGTAAGTAATAGTAAAATGCCGAATTTATTCATACAGGTTTTCTTTCTCAACACACAGTAAAATATATATTTATCGTACCCGTTACAGAATTTCATAGTAGCAACAGTGAAATGTTCCAAATTTAATCCGGGTTCCTAATCCCAAACTCAATCTGACTGGACAATGGTTATTACCATTGGCATTAATAACGATTTTTGTCAAACATCTAAAAAAAAACTCGCATGTATCCTGATCCGTTGGTAAATTGAATATTGGTTTCAAATTTGGGACAGCAATGCTTTTAAAAATAGTATTTCGGTTGTTGCGGTTGTTTGTATACGGCCATTGGGAAAGGAAGGATTTCGCAGTAAAGTGCGTAATTAACAATCTCTAGATTATTGAATTAGTAAATGATGACTCATCCGTCTTAAACTAAAGTGTAGTGATTTACGATTCGGCTAATTCTTTATCCGTCTGGTCAAGAACAAAGAAAACGACAATTGTAAAATTTTATTGTTGCACAAATCACGAGCGTACGTTAGAATGCAGGGCTTATAATTACAGCCACAATTATGGTTCTATAATGCATAGAACTACAATTAATTGGCAATTCACATTATGATCAGTCGTGCGCCTATTAGTCTTTCAATTAACGCAAGCCAATATTACTAATACTATGATCAATTCCTAAGGAAATTGTGATCGACCCCTTATCTGCCCCCGTACAATGGTGTCACATGTCTGTCGCCACATGGCCTGTCTGCCCTGTCAATTCTAAATATAGTACATCTGGATATTAATATTTCTCTGTTAAATTTGTTGAGAAATTTTAAAATACTCGATACTGAACATCTCCAAGATGTTCATTGATTCACACTTTCATGAATTAAAGCAAGCGCCTTTGCTACTATTTGGATCGAATATTCAGTCAAAAAACGTGACTCTATCTGATAGCGATCAGTATTTCATTGCTGGTTTTGGTTCACTTTTTCCGATCGAATATCCGGATTTATACATAAACAGTTGACAATGTTACATCGCAGATCAAAACTATACGAATCACGTGAGGCTACCGCGCTCTATCGATTGCTATAATTAAAACTAATACTAATATAAGTCGGATATTCTCTTTGTCTCCAAATTCCCATATGCAGTATTATCAATAATTGTGCTTGTGGCAGATTAAAATTCTCCTGGGAACTAACTGCAACGTCATGTTTCTTATTATAGTAATAAGGGCATACATATTTCAACCTAATATTGAATTTTGATATGGAAGTTATTTTTGAACTTTTCTAGCCCGAATTCCGCTCAAGACTTGTTCCTAAATAGTCACTTTGAACGAGTTTCTGTAACTATAATAAAGTGATATCATCTGAATTAGAAATTCTATATTGCGTAAACATCCCCCCCTGCATACAATACGCAATTTCAGCGGACTCTATATAACAACCATTAACATTAAGCTCTCGTCCATCTGTCAGTAGCATAACTAGGACTCTAAGGTTTAACGCTTTCTTAAGAGAGTAAATGATCGCTGTAGCGAGTTATTACGCACAACAATGGCATGTACTATTATGGGACTTTAATGAGAATGGAGCGTGCAACGATTAAAACGTCTCCCTATTGGCTTTTATTAATATCTACGTCCATTGTGCAAAAATTATACAGACCGTTCACACATAGGGATCTGATGCAACTCCTGCATTACAGGGAAATTCATTCTTATTATTATGGAGATTAAGTCAACTAGGCAAATAACTTTCTTTCCTCCAGGAAACGTATTATAGAACCGTATTTACTGCGCATACAAGTGTGCATTAGACGGGCCATCTTAATGTCAACATTATTTAAGAATGATGGCAGTCTAATGTTGCATGGAGATATCGCGCAAATGCTTGACCTCAATCAAGTGTTGTATCAGGCCTGAAATAGTTGCGTCTGGACAGGCCCGCGTTCAAAGTGTCAAGACTCCAACAATTCTACATTGATAAATTTGAAACGTTACTTGAACGCGTGTTCAAATTGTGGCCTTCCTCAAAAAACTCTGTACTTCGATGCGATATCATTATGGACACAAGAATCCGCCTGGTTGGGAATGGGTTTCTAATCGGTATTTATTAAGCTCTGTTAATGGCCTCATCTAATACGCACAAATAAAGAACAGAATTGATATCTAGATGGTGCTTATAAGAAATCATTTCGCAACAAACATCGGCAACCTCGTTTCCTTTTATTTAGAATTGCGTCGTAAACCCGCTTTTCTGGCAATGTAATGAAAGTCTTTACAATAAATATTAATGGTTATTGTGTGGAGATTGAAAGCGCATAACAGTGAGGCTTTTAGTTTCAATCACATGACTTCAACCGGACATCCGGTTTCGAGTAAGCGGTATAGCCGAATGGGGGACACAGGAATGTATGAAAAAGCAAAAATAAAAATATATATAAATATATACGAGTTGCGACCACAAAAATTTTCACTCTTAATCCTTGCGTTTCTTTTTTACAAACAGTTTTACGAATATACTTAAATATTTACTGTCTATCTACAAAAAATAATAAAAATACTTTCAATTATGAGCAATGGCAGAGCTAACGGGCAGCGCCTAGACGAGCAATATGGTAAGCCATCACAAACATAAGTAGTGGAGAGTGAGCCAGTAGATTGAGTCAGAGAGCTCATAGACAGACACGACAGATAGAATGGTTGAGTGTATGAGTGAATACAAGTTGTTGGGTCACAACGAGCGAGCGCAAAATAACACTACGAACTTCAATCGCGACTACTACGCAGAATAGAGTCTTAGCGCATCGCCTGAATTCAGTACTACTTCTATTGAATAGTTCCATCACTCTACTCAATCGTCACAACAGCCTTCCTGTCTACTTCATCTAACTCCATCCTATTTACTCTTCTCTCGATCGCTACATGAAACGTATTCGCAGGCGTATATTATTGTGTATACGTTCTCCGAATCTTCCATATTTACTCTTCATATGTATCTGTTTTGGCTTTACCGTTAGCGAATCATATAAGGCACTAATTCTTTCATGGATCACGTTATTTCACACATCTTATCCACCGTCTCCACGTTACAGCTAATTTAGGCATGAAAGACACGCCATCGGGGAGACCGTCCGCTGGTCGATACGTCCCTCCCCACATGCGTAATCGATCGACTGAAACAAAAGACACTTCTACCTCAAACACATCCACAGACCAAAGGAGTGGTGACAGAGATAGAGATGGCGGCAATAGCTGGGCTTCAGACGATAATAGCTGGGGAAGAGATGATAAACGAGAAGACAGAAAAGACTACAGAAGGGACGAAAAACGAGACGACAGAAGGGATGAAAAACGAGACGACAGAAGAGATGAAAAACGAGACGACAGAAGAGATGAAAAACGAGACGACAGAAGAGATGATGGAAGATCTAATAGAAATGACGCTTATTCATCTGAGGCTGCAGAAGACGTATCTCCGTTGCAAAATCGCCGGCCTAATGGATGGCATAACCGTAATGGAAGGTAAGATTTGATAGTGGGAATAGCTGTAGAATCAGAGTATTACAGGGAACAAACTCCCTAAATATCATTAGTATTGTAAGAGTGGAGGAAGATAAATATGATTAGTGGATACTGCGAAGTGATTGGATGCTCAACATAGCTACTGCAAAAGACGAGTTTGTTGTTGAGAATGATAGATTGTATTACGTAATTGTGTGCATATTGCGTATAGTGGGCTTGGTGTTGGCTAATTATGCGCAGACGGATCAAACACATTAATTTAGTTGTATTGTTTTCAAGCCTGCTTATAGACGCACTTTAGTGTATTTGTATATTACCTTTTTGTTGCCTACACTATCATTCCCATACAATTTATTCTATGACACTCATCCTTCTGTTCTTTCTTTTTTATCTTTATTCGATTCAAACAGTACATCAGCAATAGGTTGGGACTCTGGAAAGCGTACAACACGCAATGAACCATGGGGAGGTTCTCGTTCAGACATGATCTTTTCTACTTCACATAATCGTAGCGGAGGCTGGTCTGATCGTGCGTCTTCACAAACTGATCGATGGAATTCGGCTCGTTCCCGCAATAGCTCGTATGGTTCATACAGCAATAGGGGAATTGATGAGTTTAACCGGAAAGATGATGGTTATGGTTCCTGGAGTATCGATGGTACGCACATAATCGCAGCGAAAAATTCTAGATTGGAAAGGGACTTGTTTGGATGTGCGGACGATCCTGATAGACAACATACGGGAATTAATTTTGAAAAATATGATGATATCCCTGTTGAGGCAAGCGGAAACAATGTGCCTGAATGTGTTGAAGCGGTGAGTAGGAAGTCTAGATCTGAAAACAATATTACTTAGCTTGTAATTATGTTAGGTTAAACTAAACCTCTTTTCATCGTTTACAGTTCACAAGTCCACCATTGGATGCTCATCTTTTAACAAATATCGACTTAGCTCGATACACCACACCGACCCCTGTGCAAAAGTATTCCATCCCAATTGTCGCTTCGGGTCGTGATCTAATGGCCTGTGCGCAAACAGGTTCTGGGAAAACTGGTGGGTTTCTGTTCCCTATACTTTCTGAACTCTTTAAACATGGTCCGCCCCCGACGCCATCTGAACCCACAGGCTATTCGCGTGGTATGGCGCGGACACGAAAAGCCTATCCTTCCGGACTGATTTTGGCACCAACACGAGAATTGGCTTCACAAATCTACGAGGAAGCTCGAAAGTTTGCCTACAGATCTTGGGTTAGACCTTGTGTAGTTTATGGGGGAGCGGACATCTATGGCCAATTGAGAAATTTGGAACGAGGATGTGATTTATTGACTGCTACTCCTGGGCGATTGGTGGATTTGATTGAGCGTGGAAGAGTTAGTCTAAGTTTAATAAGATATTTGGTTCTCGATGAGGCAGATAGAATGTTAGATATGGGATTTGAACCACAGATCAGGAGAATTGTTGAAGGCGAAGGTAAGAAAGGGAATAGTACAATGTACATTGTGAATGACTCTTGTTACATATCAAATTCAATATAACTGACACACCCGATCGTTACTATTACTAGATATGCCTGATGTTCATCAACGCCAAACTTTAATGTTTTCTGCTACATTCCCACGCGATATCCAAATTCTTGCTCGAGATTTCCTAAAGGATTACGTCTTTCTCTCAGTCGGCCGTGTTGGCAGCACTTCAGAAAACATAACGCAGAAGATCGAATACGTCGAAGATGATGACAAACGATCTGTTCTTCTTGACATTCTTCACTCACAGCCAGAAACAGAGCGCGGGCTCACTCTCATCTTTGTGGAGACTAAACGCATGGCTGATATGTTGAGTGCTTTCCTTATTCAGCATAACTTCCCTGCTACTAGTATCCATGGAGACAGGAGTCAAAAAGAGAGAGAAAGGGCCTTGGATAGCTTCCGATCAGCAAGGACGACGATCATGGTTGCTACTGCTGTCGCAGCAAGAGGGTTGGATATTCCTAATGTTACTCATGTGATTAACTTCGATCTACCAACGGATATCGATGATTATGTACATCGTATTGGGCGTACTGGACGTGCCGGAAATGTTGGGTTATCTACCGCGTTCTTCAATCGTGGCAACAAGGGCATTGTGAAATATTTGATTGATCTATTAAAGGAAGCGAATCAGGAGATTCCAGCTTGGCTAGAAACTGTTGCTCGCGAATCTGCTATGCCTGCTAGTCGGCCATATAAAGGCCGTGGTGGGCGTGGACAGAATAGAGATTATAGGAAATTTGGGGGCAGCAGTGAACGAGGAGGACAAGGGAGTGCTGGTAATGAGTAAGTATATTAATAGATTTCCGTGATTATGCTCTAAACGTTAAGGATACTTTACTGACGATCGTTCCTCTCATAGTTTCTACTACGGAAACAATTATGGTGGCGGTTATGGTGGAGGCAGTGGTGGTGGTGGTGGCGGCAGCGGTGGTGGAGGCGGATCATATGGAGGTGGTGGGTACGGTAGTACAAACGGATACGGCAATAAGCCTAGTTGGTGGTAATTCAACGAGCTTTCTTCGAGTATGAGTGTATAATGAATGGACTGAGAATCAATAATTGAAACGGATATTCTAAGCTTTGTTAGTAACGCCCATGGTGAATGCTAATGGTGCTTTTACTATCTAATAAAGCATACATAATGCCATTGGGCATTACACATATTCTTACTAATTAAATTAATAATAAATAAAATAAAATACATATAATTTTATTCTTAAACCATTTGAAGCCCTTATTATCTTTTTTCATTTAACATTCTGGTTTTACAAGTTCCCCACTTACCCGTGTAACCTCACACCTTAAAATTTAAGTTAGACTTTTCTTTTGAGTATGCGATAATTTTTCAGTGAATCATGAGCAGAAAGAAGAATTAATTGGCTAACAATTTTTCTCTCGATTGTCCGTTAAGCTGAATAAAGCAGCAAGAGAAAGTGAGAATCATGGTTTAAAAGAGTTATAGTTAACCTTCCCTAGTAGTTGCCTCAACACTGATATGAATTTGAGTTGATGAAACGTACGTTTTTAATCTTAGAACTAATATTTACTTTGCCACGCACAATGTAGTTGGTATCAATAAAGGACCTCGCAGGTCGAATAGGTGGAAGCTTTAGAGTGCTTGGTATCATTTCAATGCTTATGAACAAGGAGTTTTGGATGCGAAAGAGAAAGTTTAAAATTAATCTAATTCCATTACTTATTTAATAAAAGAGATTTTTTTATTTATAAATTATTATACAACACAGAATAACATCATTTTCTCTTTTCTCTCCTTTTTCAATGTAACATTAGTTCCCTCTCCCTTTCTTCAATACTACTTCCACCATCTCTTTCAATTCATCAATTTTCTTGTCTGTCGTTGCATTGTGTGGAACAGCGTCTACCTCCCTTTCTGCGAGAGCTCGCAAGTTGAGAGCAACAAAGTCTTTCAGATCCTCTGTTACCTCATTTTTTTTTCTTTATTCGCTTTCGATAATTTGATAGGATAAGGAGACTTTGCTACTTCTTTATGCGGAATTATTATTGATCAATATATCGAAAAATTCGATAATATTATTCAATATTGATTTAACGGCAAGATCGCCAGGATACTGATAGAAATTTAGCGCATGGTCGGTAAGTCATGCCAACGCAGCAATAATAATTTTTACTTTTTATTGCTGCGCCAATTACTCCCGCTCTCGTGGAACTGTGTAAGGCCAGAGTCCGCAAAACTCTTATTTCGTCGTACGCGGTAGGTGGCAACGTCCAAATTAGGCCTCCCGATTTGACATGTTCAACTTTCTTGGAGCTGGTGATTCTATCCAGGGGAGAAGAACTCTTTTAATTCAGCCAACTAGGCATTGGCAACGTCCAAATTAGGCCTCCCGATTTGACAAGTTCAACTTTCTTGGAGCTAGTGATTCTGTCCAGGGGACCGTAACCGGAGAAGAACTCTTTTAATTCAGCCAACTAGGCATTGGCAACGTCCAAATTAGGCCTCCCGATTTGACAAGTTCAACTTTCTTGGAGCTAGTGATTCTGTCCAGGGGACCGTAACCGGAGAAGAACTCTTTTAATTCAGCCAACTAGGCATTGGCAACGTCCAAATTAGGCCTCCCGATCAACTTTTTTGAAGCTAGTGATTCTGTCCAGGGGATCGTAACCGGAGAAGAACTCTTTTAATTCAGCCAACTAGGCATTGGCAACGTCAAAATTAGGCCTCCCCATCAACTTTCTTGGAGCTAGTGATTCTATCCAGGGGACCGTAACCGGAGAAAAATTCAGCCAGCTAGCATTAGGTCTCCGCCAAAACGCCAAAGTTAATGCCATGTAGTTAATGCCATGTGCTCGTATTTGGCTCTTGCTTAATACGTTTAAGCGATTATCTGACGAACCGCCTTAATGTCGTCCTTAATATTAAGGTCTTGCATATTCTGACTAATGTCATCTACTGATTAACGTCGACCTTCATGTTAGTCAGCTCCTGATATATATCAACTTGGAATAAGTATCTTTACTATGAAATTCTAACAATAAATGGTTGTCCTTACCCGAGCGAGTGGATCTACCTTCGCTCCTATCAGGTAATCGATCCCACCGATACTCGTCATAAAGACAGAAACCTTGATTGCGGCCGAGTTTCGATTCATATATTCCATTAAAGACGCATTTCGATCTATACATTCTAGCAAAGGGACTAAAATATAACTATTGCCTATGTAGCAGTCGATGTTCAAGAAAGAACGTATCACTTTATTACTCACGCTTAGCACCGCCGTTGCCATTTGACGGTGTCATTGTGGAAAATCGGCTAACTACTAAATATAATATTGCACATTTATTTATAGTTCTAGAAAGAGCACAAGAGCAAAGTTCACTACTCACTTGGTTTCCTAGTGTTGCGAGAGTAAATACGAGGGAAACGCAACATTTTAGTTAAGCAAAGAGTTCCATGTCTTTTTTTCTGCCCCTACCTAATATCATCTGATTTTTGCCACCCCTTGAACTGTTGTGCAACGGCATCGCGTCCTATCATTTTTTTGCAATGGTTGCGTTATTGTGTTTCAACATAGTGTATTATTTAACGCACGAGTCAGTGATGGTATGGTGGGGGACACAAGTACGCATCAAACAAAAATCGATGCATTTCAAACAATAATACAAGCATTACTGTATTAATAATTCAAAATTTAAGACCGCCATTTTGTTCTTCTTGATAAATGTTAACCAATTTATGTTTAGAAAATTGACAAATGCTACATGTGATTTGAGATATAGCTGTTCAAAGTTTAGTTAATTTATATAGTGAGCAGAAATTTGAAACAGCCTTTTCTGGTAAAATTTATCTTCAATATGGCCCATTTCTTAAGGCCTTAACAAAAATAGAAATCTCGTGTTACATGACCTTTGGATAAAGATATCTCTAAAACGAAAAAAAAAATCGCTCTTTAATAATGGTAGACCCACAAGACGCACTCAACACTGTCGTGAGCTTGCGAGGAAAAGGAGAAAACCAGCAGATTCTCTGTATAATACCATAACCGACAATGTTTTTATTAAAGATAATTGTTATTTACGATGCGATTGAAGATGAGAGTAGTGAATTTGAAGTGTATGAATGGAATGATAATAGATTCGACTATTCTGTGGTGTGAAAAAACGATTGTAACAAATGATGATTGTTGTGCGCGTCATATTCTTGCAGCGCAAGAAGATTTCAAAGCTAACAAACCGCTACTCCAAGAGGTAATTGAGAGCGCTACTAAACGATATACATGGTCAAACTCGATAAAACAAAGTCATTTAAGATAAAATACGCTAAGATAATGAATTTTCCCGCCCCGAATTTTTTGTACTAAAAATACCTCCATAATATAAATTTTATTATAAACCTTGATAAAACTGTAAGATAAAGAGAATTCTCTCATAAGTCGAATACCTCGATTAGTAAAAGATTTATCGCTTTAAATTAACATTAGAGAATAAGGGTTACCAAAATCTTAATTCTTGATTCGAAAACCATGAATATCGCTGCCCGGTTCTTCTATTAAGAATAAACGCAAGAATATATCTAATTCATTATCTGGTAGTAAAAAACTCCGGTCAATTACGAGAAAGACTTTAACGGGGCTACAAAGAAGACAATACGCGCATATATCAAAATCAGGAACTTGCAGAGAAAATTTCAATTAGTCCTGTCAAGTAATTGAAATACGCAAACAGTCCCAATAGTAGCAATTTGTGTTGACGCCGTAGTATATTATATAATCCTCGATAAAATAAAACCTCTGTAGCTTAAACCATTACCATCGGCCCATCGACTTTATCTATGTACACGACAAATTGCTCCATTTGCATTTGATTCTATTTCTCTACAGACAATACGAAAATTTGCACTAAGGTTTAAACGATTTATGGATTATTATAGGAAGGGATTGGAGGGACGACATGCCGCCATTAAAAAAAAAAAAAGTCATAGAAACGGTTCCTGGAACGATTTTTGAACAATATAGTTGATCATTGACATTTTCAGTAATGATTTCCCCTTGAAAATTGATAAAATTGACACCAGGGACAGCACAATGGCAATGGCAACATAACCCATGGACTTCATTGAAAATAGGAAGTCGAAGCTGCGAAACTCAACATAGTCATAGGACATTGGTGGAGACTTGCGTTTCTGTGTAAGAGAGGCCTTAGGTAGATCCGCAAAACGATATTCACCGTGCTTGGGCATTTGGGGGTTTATGGGTTTGCATTTATTATTATACTATAAATTGATGTTGTACCCTTATTTGGATACGAGTGGTACTAATTACTAATACATTGTATAGGGAGTTAAGCGCGCGAATGACTAAATTTATTAATTATAATAACAATAAATAGATCGGAGCATAGTTCAGCCTTAATTATACGGCTACCACCGGTTGGTGAACACCTACGCGAAAGATAATATCGCTCTGCTACTCGAGATGTAACATATTTCTGAAAAGGATAATTTTGATAATAGACGGACATGTTTTTCTCATGATTTATTAATCACGTGAGCAGGGGTTACCACTCTATAAATGCATGCGTTTAATCTAAATGTTCGAGTAAAAAATGTCTGAAGAGATACGACAAGTTTTTCGCAGTTGCAAAGCAGCGAGTGAGTAATAATAAGATGTTCTATTTTCTCTTCTCGAGATGTTATCGATTGTCCAACTGATTATGAAACTTCTCTGATAGATCGACCAGCATTTGTTGGTTTCGTCACAGCGGGATATCCTGAACCAGATGAAACTGTAGACATATTATTAGAATTAGAAAAAGGAGGAGTTGATATAATTGAACTCGGTATGCTGATGGAGTGAATTTATTGGGAAATTCTTCTGATTCCTTCTGATTCCTTCTGTTTCATATCATTAAATCTATCCGTCCATCCACAGGAATCCCATTTACAGATCCGTTAGCCGACGGACCGACAATCCAGGAGAGCAACAATGTAAGCGGACCAACGCACTTCTGTCCTCATCAAATATTGCTCAGATGCTAAATGCTCTTACTCATATATTATTGTCATCAACACAAAGGTTGCCTTACAACATAACATTGATATCCCAAAATGTCTCTCTCTCGTCTCAGAAGCGCGTAGTCGAGGCCTCAAAGCTCCCATACTGTTCATGGGGTACTACAATCCAATATTAAGCTACGGAGAAGAGAGAATGGTTGAGGATTGTAAAAAAATAGGAGTTAACGGGTTCATTTGTGTTGATTTGCCGCCCGAGGAATCTTACAAGTTTCGGGAAATATGCATACAAAACAGGTGAATATATAAGCAATAGGAAAGAGAGCGGATAAATTAGAAATAAGAGTGAGCATCTGACATGTCTATGTTGACATCAATACTTTTCCGACCAGTTGCAATCATCCACAAATTATATAATTCTTCTCTTTCACTTCCAATCCTAGCCTCAGTTACGTTCCTCTAATCGCCCCGTCAACACCGGACGCTCGCATCAAACACTTGTCTAATATTGCCGACACCTTCATCTACGTCGTTTCCCGTATGGGTATCACCGGCACACGCTCAACCATAAATTCCGAGTTACCAAATCTTGTCGGACGTATAAGAAAGTACACTAGTCTGCCACTCGCAGTCGGATTTGGCGTATCGACAAGAGAGCATTTCCGATTAGTTGGATCTTACGTAGATGGGGTTGTCATCGGTAGTAAGATTGTCCAAGTTTTGAAAGGGGCCGGTAAGCTTTTCAGATTTGGTATAAGAGGCTAAGAAAGATATACTAGTTGAATTGGTGGCATATCCAAAATGAAAGAAATAAGAATGAGGTTGCGAAAAGCAAAGGTTAATTGATTGATAAAAAGCGTTTTTATTTGCTGTAAACTGTTATTGATTAGAGAAGGGAAAGCGCGGTGAAGCGATAAGGAAATATGCGGAGGAAGTTTCTGGACGCGTTCCGAATGAAGATAACAGGACAGGTGTGAATTGTAAGCGAACCCTCATTGAAGAAGAGGGTTTACGTAATTAGCATTATTCCGTCTGGCAGCGTTAACTGATACATCTCTATATCAGAGTTTGTGATTAACAGTAATTCGTACGTGGCTCCAAATACTCAATCTATCAATGATGATGGCCATTGCGAGGTAATGCTAGTGAACAGTTACCTTTTTGTCGATTGCTAGTCAATTCTAACAGATAAATTTACTACAGTACGACATGCACACATTAAAAGCGCGATTTGGAGAATGGGGTGGGCAATACGTTCCCGAAGCTTTGGTCGATTGTTTAGTAGAGCTGGAAAAAGTGAGTTGTTCCATAATTACATATAGTGTGCAACGAAAAAAAAATATATAACGTTACAATTCTACGAATAGAAGCTTGTTAGCAAAAAGTTTAATAGACCATTCCCTTCATTATTCCTATAAGTAGCTCACATCGTTGTTTATCAGTTTATTAATGTACTCTCTCGGGAATAGAATTCATGACCATAGACTGCATTAACTCCCATCGTTCTCTTTGCTAAACTGGTTGGTAAAAGCTCAAGTCTGAATCTGTGATCTAATTGATCAATATTTAGTATTTACATTCCAGTTTGGTAAAATAGTCATTCGAATTTTATTTTATTTATTTTTTTCCGTTACACATTGTCTATATAAATACTATCCTAATTCGCTACTAGCTTGACCAATTCGGTTTCCAAATTTACATTTTATTTTCGAACTTTATTCTTTTTATCCCTCAGGCCTTTATCACAGCTAAAGATGATCCTTCGTTCTGGAAAGAATTTGAAAGCTATTATGATTACATTGGCCGACCTTCACAGCTGCAATTGGCATCACGACTGACAGAATTTGCTGGCGGCGCTAGAATCTGGTTAAAGCGAGAAGATCTGAATCATACCGGATCACACAAGATTAACAATGCCATTGGGCAGGTAAGCTGACAGTGAAGGGAATAAGATGTCTTGTTACATGATCGTTGCAAACTGGCTTGTCTTTTTTTATTTTCAGGTTCTTTTGGCAAAACGTATTGGTAAAAAACGTATTATTGCTGAGACGGGTGCCGGACAGCATGGTGTCGCGACTGCAACAGTGTGTGCCAAGTTTGGTCTTGATTGTGTTGTGTACATGGGTAGTGAAGACGTACGGCGACAAGCATTGAATGTGTTTAGGATGCGTCTTCTAGGTGCCACAGTAATTCCTGTTGATTCAGGTAAGCCGTTGCATTTTTTCGTTTTGTCATGGTTATTCTGCCTCTAAACAGTGTTATTCTTTAGGCAGCAAAACATTAAAGGATGCAATAAACGAAGCCATGCGTGACTGGGTAACTAACGTGCACAACACTCACTATCTTGTTGGATCAGCCATTGGGCCACATCCGTTCCCAAGGATGGTACGCGAATTCCAATCTGTTATCGGTAAAGAGGCACGTGCACAGATGTTAGAAAAAGCAGGGAAATTGCCTGACGTAATAATCGCCTGTGTTGGTGGCGGTAGCAACTCTATTGGATTGTTCCATCCTTTCGTAGAGGATAAAAGTGTGAAAATCATTGGTGTTGAGGCTGGCGGTGATGGTAAGCTATGACTGTGTCGATATATGAATAGTACCGTTGGTGTGAATTTGGAAAAAGGTTGTCCCAAACGATAGTTCTAAGTTGGTCCTGTAAAGTTGCTCTATACGGACTAAATTATAATTTGGTCGTATAGGAATTGAAACTGGGCTCCACTCAGCAACATTGACAGTTGGCACTCCAGGGGTATTACACGGCACTCGTACATATCTACTACAAGATGCTAACGGACAGATTCAGTCGACTCACAGTATTAGTGCTGGTTTGGATTATCCCGGGGTAGGGCCTGAGCACGCATGGTTAAAGGACAGCGGACGTGCTCAATATGTGGCTGTTACCGATGCAGAGTCGCTCATTGGATTCAGACAGTTGGCTGAGTATGAAGGAATTATTCCAGGTAAAAACATAATAACCGGGCTTGGCTTCATTGCATTAAGAATCTTTGTGTCTAAGTGTTTACGGTGATGTTTATTTTAACGATCTCGTCTTGCTCTCCCTGCATTCGTGTAGCGCTTGAGACAAGCCATGCAGTCTATCAAACAATTCAACTTGCAAGGACGATGTCTGCAGATGAAGACATTCTCTTATGTGTCAGCGGACGTGGTGATAAAGACGTTGTATCTGTTGCTGATGCGCTGCCCAAATATGGGCCCAAGATTGGGTGGGATTTGAGATTTGATGAGATGAATAACTCTTCTAAATAGGTCTTTATAATTTATGTATTACTTTTCATCATTGAACGAATTAGAAGTAAAACGATACCCAATAAACACGCAAAATCTTTCCCAATGGCAAAGCACTCCTTGTTATGCCAGTAACATGTCATTTCTATAGAATAGCATGCTGCCCGTAAATGACGTCTCTTATCTTGTAATAATCCTCGGACAGTGATCCTTCTATTACTAACTGTCCATTAGTAGACTATAATAAGAATGAAAAGCATTATTAGAACATCATTGAATAACTATGTCTTTCTTTTCACCATCCATTAACTCACCTTCCTCACAGCAACCTTTTCGTTACATACTAGCACTCCCTCGCCCTTAAACTCGGCTATTATTCCTTCTGCCTGTAACACGCGTTTTAGCTCCGTTAGCTTAATTTCCCCAATAAAAACTGGTAAATGTCCACCAGTGGATTCGTCGGGAGAGACCAAGTCCAAAACAGGTACAGAGGAGTCAGGTGGAAGGTGGATCATGCCCGTTATATAAGCTAAATCGTACTCATCAAGCTTTTGATATAAGTGATAAATCCAAATTTTAGTAAACTCGAGTGAATAAATATAGATGCAAACGACGCGTGCAAAAAGTATCTCAACATCCAGTGATCAGCATGCACCAAAACATTTCATAATAAGCATACCCTTGAGAATTTTAAAGAACTAACTAAAGCATCAGTCAGCTTCACTCGATAGAAATTGATGGCAGCCGACACATTAAGTACTTCTCCAACTGCGGGCGTATAAATATCTCGCGTCATCGACTCGATTACGAAGCAGCTCTGGGCAAAATCTGATGTTGCTTCCGGAGATGCGTGAATTATGATCTTGGGAATGATTCAGGAACGAAAGAAATATAAATAAAGAACAGAGATAAAAAAGTCTATCAATTAATGAGTTACATACTAACCAATTTACGCGGCTGAACTTGCGGGACAATAGTTTTCAATGCTCGGCCATCGTTCAAGCCTTCAAGATCAACAAAACGAAGTTGACACCGGAAATGAACCTCTTCTTCGTAATTCACATATTTCGTTGGCACATCGAAATCCTGGACCATAGTAGGGTCTTCTTTTTCTTGCTGTTATTGAAATAATGCGTCAGTATATTAAATTCCATTGTTAGAATATCATCCCCTTCAACGATTATACAACAGGCTCCATTATATTCATTCTATAATCACATCAACTGTTTTTATGCTCTTCCTATCAAAATGAATAGTATTTTTCTCCTTTAACAGGCATTTCCGTACTCACCTCACCCTTTCCGTCTCTCCCTTCATTCTCCACTCCCAAGCCTCCACTTCCACTCCTCCTACCCCCTCCCTCAAACATCTCTGGTGCCAATATCTCGCCGTAATCATCAAATCTCTTCCTTTTCTCCACATACGGAAACATTCTATAACTTTGCGTTTGCTTAAAAAAGCCTCCAGATTTTGTTGCGTCTCGAACATACAAATCAAATTGGTTATATAAAAGCTCTTCCATACCCTCGTCGTCATCAGAAGTGTCAGAAGAGGCGTCATCGTCGTCCGACTCTTCAATTATAGACTTCGAACGAGCGATTAGGGCTGCCTGCGCAGCTTCACGTTGTTGGCGTGTTTGTAGTTCTAGATTGTATTCAACAAGTTCACTGCCCTCCAGTGGGACGCGTTTATGGATCTTTATTGGCAAAGAGTGAACGAAGTAAAAAAAAAATTCAATTACAAAATATATTTACAAGTCTATTACTATCGATAAACGTCCGTCTAAAATTTGTTCTTCCCTTCTCCCTATATTTTCTTCCTGTAAACCCACCTGAATTTTTTCCCGGTAGTCAAGAAGAACCGTCTGCCTAGTCGCCAACATCTGCCCGGTTTGATGACCGTCTTTCGGGCCACCCAATTGTCCGTTTTTTGCTCCATCTTTCTGTCCTTCGTTCACTTCATCAATAACTATATCTATATCTTCCTCCATACTTCTCCCTCCTTCTTTTTCCTGTTCTGTCGTCATGCGAATCCACTCATTATACAATCTTCTCGCCAAAGAATTAGGCGGTCCGCGGTCGACAAGTATAACATTATTCAACTTGGAAGTACCCCATTCGAGGAGTAAATCCTTTGCGTATCCTGTCTCTAGACTTAAATTGGAGGCAAGGACAACTTTGGGACCGGGATATTGATTTAGGTCTTTGAGTCGGTGACAGAGGCGGAGCGATCTTATGGGAAAAACAAGTGTAAATAGTTTGGAACAATTCTATACTCTTCACATACAGAGTCTTAGACCTACTTAAACTCAAACGGATTCTCTCTCGAATCGAACTGTCTATTAATTGCATCGCTCATCCATTCAAGCATACTCTTCGCGTATTGTATCGTACGGTAACTCATATGCGTCAACAGAATTAATGGATAATTGACATTCTGAAATCGCTGATCTAGCAGGTAAGCTAATTCAAGCACACGGGCGGACGAATCAGTGGGAATAAGGACTGATCCAGAGGATGCGAGTGTGGAATGTATTGTCTCTGAGTGGCAAGAGAATGGTTAATAAGATACGAATAACAAGAATACTTCATGATAAGCAAACAAAAAGACGCCTTTATTAAGAATGAAATAATACCACGACGAGAACAAACATATACACATACCAAACAAGTCGCTCTCTCGCTGTTTACGCGGTGGATGTATAACCAATGAATTATAAGCATCTGTTATCATCAGCGATGGTCGGCTTAGTGCGTCGAGGACTTCTCCATTGAAATGCATTACTGTTCCATCTAAGTGTCTATAAGGGTTATATTTATACATATATACAATGTAAAATTAGGCCACTGTTATTGAGGAATAAGCCATTCCATACAGGATAGCATTTTGTCAGTACCTCTCCTTCTTGTGATTATAATCAACCGCATAAACAACATCTTCGGTGTCTTTCTTTATCCTCCATATTGTTCCTCCTATCGTATGCCCAGCTGCATAAGCCGTTATTGTTATGCCTTTACATTTACCTGTTCGTCATACAAGCAACAGCGACAACCAACTTTTGTTATAATGCGTCAAAACGAAAATCTAATCAGCACTATTGCTCTTTGTTTTCAGTGCGCTTTCTCCTCTATACCCTCACTTTCCAACGCATAACAAAACACTCACCTCCAAGTGCCATGGGCTGCGAGTACTTCAACGGAGTTATCTTCTCAAACGCTACGTCTACGTTCTCTAACCCGAATACGTCAAACTCCATCGAGTTTGTTTTCGATAGATATATATCATGTAAACACATCCGCCCCATGTTTACGACAGGAACTGTGGCATAGACGGGACAGTTGAGAGAAAAGTTGGTACAAGCATAGGGAAACGCGCCGAGATGAGGTAGGTCGGGATGAGAAAGAAGAAGACAATCGACTTGTTTGGCGACTCTGGAGACATTGAAGGCAAGGGAAGGGATTTGTTAAGGACAGGATTAAAAGAGATCTGTAGAAATCGACCAGCCGGGATTCACTCTTCAAAGATTTTATTACCAAAATACCTCCTTAAATGCTTCAAATCCTCAACGTTAAACTGATCATTCCAACCACAATCAAGTAAAATCTTAACCTCGTTATCGAATTCTACTAAATAACATAACGCATCTTCGTTTTGTGCGCCAGAAATTGCGGTCACGACAATCATTGTCAAGGAAAATAAATAAATAGATTTACCAGCAAGAAATCGGCTTGAAATATTTTGCAGTCAGCCAATCGGAAAATTCATTAACAGTCCTAAAATGTATAGTATTAGTATTAGTATATCATTTGCATTCCACAACACCACGGAAACCGACACTCTAATAATCTAATAGAAGGTTGTTCATGCGCATAACATTCGTCCAGAAGTTGTTCCACTCCTTGGCTATTGATATCGATATGGGGTAGGATTATATATACCCTAAATCTTTGGTAATACTATATTCACTTGCCTGGTTTCTGTGCAGATGTCTTCTCTAAATGGTCAAGCAGTGATACTCCAAGACCGTGCGCAGGCCCTTGCACACTACCCGCACGCCAGAATCGCGGGTGGTTTCATTTTCATCTCAGGAATTTCGTCACGACGGTTGGATAATACGTAAGTTTCATTTGAGGAGAGAAGAGGAGAGAACATAGGACGCAAACGAGTAATTGGTTAAATTAACATGGCTTCGTTTATTTAATATTACTCAATTTGTTAGATACGAAGGAGTAAGTTTTTAAATAATGTCCCTTATTTACCCCCCTCCCCCGATACACATTTATTTCCCCCATCTTCCGCCATTCTATGCTTCTGTAAGGTGGTTGAACACCCAGACGGCACATTCGATCTCGACATTCGTGCACAAACACGCGCCGTCATCGCCAACGTTTCTGCCATCCTCGATTCTGTCGGAGCATCCTTGAAGAACATTATCGACTTAACTGTATTCTTGATCGACATGAAAGATTATGCTGCATTTAATGAAGTTTACAACGAGTTCTTCTCAGCAGAAACTGGACCATCAAGAACTACTGTGGCTGTTAAGGAATTACCGTCGGTGAGCGTTGCTTACGTGAGAAAAGTGAAAAGACAGTTTGATAAGCGGAGAAACGGGATATAAAATCATTTATTCTTTTCTTTTTTTTATAGCCAAAGTTATTGATTGAGATCAAGGCCATAGCTCTAACGTCATAATGATCATTATGTGCGTTTCCTGCTTACCCCTTTGAATACTATCATAGTTGAAATTGGTGGTAATCCTAATTAGGAAGTTCGTTGTGAAATATCAATAATAAGGACCATTCAGAATTCTGATTTGGGCCGGCCCATATTGGATTGTGATATTTCTGTGATATTTAGGAGCGTCGACTATTAATTTATTTGTCTAGCTTTAATTCAATAAAATTGAGACTCGCGACATTCTCCAAACAAAAATCGCGACATTCTCTAAACAGATACTCGCGTAATTATAATGCGAGAATTTTTCGTGTTCTTCTTTCATTTCTAGCGTTACTTACAAAGAAATGAAACAAATAAGACAGTGGTTTTGGTTTAACAACATGAATCACTCATCATACCGAATTATGTTCAGCTTCGCATCTTGAAACATTCAACAACATCGTTAATGAGTACATTGATTCGCTGCCATATAATCGTCGAGCCAAAGCTTTAATCACACAGGAGCTGATAACGTTGTTAAATCAAGAAAACATGAATGGTAGCAAATTTCGGCATTGGTCATACAAAAACTCATTTGAAGGTAGTTTCTGCCATTTTATGAAAATTTAAATGGCGATATTACATCCTTCCATCCACACAAAACCGTATTAATCATCTACGAAAATTGTGGTTTATTCTGGAATGTTCGAAAATTGCACCAACCACTTTTTGATTTGTTATTTTAATCTTCATATTCCTTTGTATTATTTTAATGTTTATAATACTTTAGAAAACCTTATTTAGATACCTGAAATCAATTAGGCAGTCGTTCCGCTACATTCTCTTAGAATCCATTCTCCTATCTCTTCCAAGGCTTCCTGAAATTCAGAAACGTCCTGCTTTATTAAATTTTCCTTCATAAAGCCATTCTCATCTCCATCGTCTTTAAGACGATTCATGTTTATTTCCAAAAAATCCTCTCCCTTCTTTTTCAATTTTATTCCTTCCAATTTTTCCATATCTTCCGTCATCTCCTCTGGTTTGCCATCACATAATTCTAATTTTTCCAACGTTTCAATCATTTCCTCTAATTCTCGCTTTTCCCTCTCGTACCTACTACGTACGATATCAACATTAGGCCATAGCGAAGATGTCAGGATAGTAAATGATTTGCGAAACGAGTGAAGTGCTAGAGTGGATATGGTGATGGTGATGGATGGTAGATCGCCGGAGAATGCATCACATTGCTGTGGAGAAAGCAGAGCAACGAGACAGTGCCCGATATTCTTCCATGCGCTGAAATCGTTTTTTCGAAGGTCGAGATAGGATATGTTATTCTTTATCGCGGCTATCGATGGAGTAGTTAAGGATAAGTAAGCTGTGATGAATAACACATTACGATTTAATCCCGTTACCGAATAGATTTTTATATGGATCAGACTAGAATAATGTTACCTACGTATCGTTTAGCTTTGAAATAAACCATTGCCTTGAGTTGAAAATGGCCAGGCTCTTCGCTGTCCTAAAGGATAAAGTGGAAAAAGTAAACTTCAGGGTTGAATCATAACACGCCTCACCCTCGTCCTTATTCTAATTTCACGCTTCTCAATCTTTACAATCCCACCCCCAACACACAAAAAAATGTATACTCCATCACTTATACTCACAATTTCGTTAACAAATCCGACCGCTTGCTCATATTCACCCAATCTAACAGCACTTCTTGCCGCTGTCTCATACAAATCTCTCGTTCCATGTAGGTTTCTTACGTTTTCCGAGCTATGTTTTACAAAGTTTATAAACTCGAGCGATACTTCTAACGCTTTTGTATAGTTTCCGTGAGCGTAATGATATTCAATCGAGTATTTTAGATGGTTTGCGCCGTGTTTTGTTTGTAAAAGAACGGACGGAGGAGTGGGATTCGGAGCATGAAACCACTTTGTAATTCATGGGTGTGGAACGTAAAAATAAAAGAAATGAATCAGAAGGCAAGTTACAGCTATATTCGTAGTGCTCGTTCGACTTACTTCTGCATAATCATGCTTTGGAATGTAATTTACAACTGTTTTTTGCGAGAGTGTTTTTCGTTGCTTAACCTGTGCCTGTACAAGCGGATCGTCCTCATCAAAATCGAAATTGAACTCCATTGTGGCATGCTTCGATAATTACACAATGTAATATATGGGGCAAAGTGAACATTTCATCAGGTGACACAGATGAGAGGCTGATGTGGCTGGTAAGTGGCTAAGATGGTGTATGGTTTTAGATTTTTACTACTAATTATATGTAGGTCATGCTGATTTTTATTTTGAAACATTGGTACAATAAAGTATGTTGTACGCAACTCGGATATATTAATATTAGATAATTTTAAGCTCAAACATGTATTGTATATGATATGGGGCATACTGCAACAAAACCAGACAAAGTGAACATTCTATAATTGAGGGGCTGATTATGATGTGGCTGTAAAATTTATCAGTGTGACTGATGACGTTTTGAAAATTAATAATGGTGCCCATTCATAACTTATGGACATTAATTTTAATTTTCACTTTATTCTACCAGAATGTGATGAATATAAACCATAACAGGATTAATATAGGATTATCTCTATATAAAAATATAAATATGAAACTAATTTACATTAAACCGACCATGGAACCCAAGAATTACAGCACCATTAGAAGCATTTTAAAGAGAAAAAATTGCTCCATACGTTTTTAAAATCAATGATACCCAAATTCTCCAGCAATATCTAGATCAAGAAAAAATTACTTATGAAATTTATCAAGAGGAACGAAAAATAATAAACAATAAACGAACATTAACCTCAACTTATGATGAACCAGGGAAGAAAAGAAAATTAGATTTAACGTAAAAACTTTCTCCACTGATCGAACGACCTAGCAACAAAATCGTTTCTTATAGTCTCGATAAAAGACTGTTTAAGGAAAATACTCGGACCCAAAGCCATTGATGAGTATAACCTATTCTTTGGTCACTCCGGTGCAAATTTTAAATTTCATTATCTTCTTTATTATCGCTATTAGTAATAGTCTTACTACTATCATCTACTTCATTTTCATTTCCCCCGTCTGAGTAGTTTATATCTTTCTTATTCTCTTCGTCAATCCAAGATTGGATTGCCATAATGGATTTTTCCCGCGGAGTTGTTCTTCGCAGGTAAAAATTTCGTATTGTGGAAGCTGTAACAGCTTTTTCTTCAAGTAATTTATAAATTTCAAACGCCATTTTGTTAAATGAAAATTTTGGATCCAATTTAATTCTTTCGTCGTATAATCGGTTAAAATCATTCCACAACGTTTCGAGTAAGTTTTGTTCGCTGATGGTTTCGTTATTCTAGACTTCATAGTCTTACTTAATATTCTCAAATTGTGGAGTTGGCTATTACAGAGCATGCCAAGAACGAAACCAAATAATATTCCGAGGAAGAATTCGCTTGTGAATGTGAACATTTTTCGCAAAGCGTAATCGATGAAATTGTTTGATATATTTGTTGATATATTTTGGTTATTTAACAATATTTAATGTGTTGTGGTTGCTTTTTCTGAAAGTAAGCGACTAGTGCTTGCTTCTATAATAAAATCTTGCGCGATGATGCTTAAATAGACAAATGCGCGTTGCTGCGCATCAATTATCATTGGTCATTCTATGACAGTAAGAAATAGTTGGTTTCTGTTTGTTTTTTGTTTTGGCACGATTTTATCGTATTTCAATGTCCCAGAACAAGAAGAGAATGTGTGCCTCGTCAAGCGACGACTGTGTGCACCGTCAAGCATTGGCAAGTTGTGTCCAGCTCCGAACGTCAGCAAGAAGAGAATGTTTTTTGCGAGTCAGGAGGAAACTATCATTTTGAATAGTCGCCCACTGAGTTGCCAAGGCCCATCAGTTGTCCTTTATCAAGATGTGTTCTCCCAATCCTTGAATGATCTCAATGATGAAACTCTCGAAGTAACAGCTGAAGACCACGAGTGGACAAGAGAATTCCTCGATCTCATGGCCACTAGCTATTCTGGGAAACTGGTTGTTGGAAGGCCTTTAATGAACACTTCAGTAAACTCATTGCTTATACAATCAAAACAGCAAACACAGACAGCACAAGAAATGATGGAATTATTTGTACTATTCCTGTGTTTGGTGAGTATGGAGTGCGAATCATACTGGAAATGAAAAATGAAATCGGAGAGGGAAATAATGATCCAACAATCCAAGTGGCTGTTGAGTATACAAGTTCTGAGCAGATGGGTCGGTAGGTTCTTATATGCAGTTTCAATGCATTATCACACATATTTATTCCTTTTACTTGACCTTCACAGCATGCGAAAATCTGAGGCATATGTAATTGTCCTTCTTTGATCCTTGCTGTTGCTGGGCCATGGTTCTGCATTCTTGGGGCTGTCTATCTTGTGAGACTTGTCATTTGTGATGCTACGTTATAAACAGTGACGTATTCTCTCCTAAATTTCTGCACTTCTCCGACGGCGCAGTAACACCAGTGCAGTGCAAGTCATACGGGAATTTATATCGCGGTAGTACAGCACCACTGCCGCACCACTGC